TAACCTGCCAACTTTACCACCAACCACAAGACCTGCTATAAACAATGATCCTAACCTGTAAATTATTTGTTAACGAGAAGATAATTAACGAGAAATATTTACCCTTCATTGTTGTCACCTCATTAATTGTATCATTACATCAGTACTGGCTGTCATAATACAGTAATGCAATTAAATGTTAAGTTACAATTAACAGTCATCATATATCATAAAATCTGAGTCTTTGTTATTCCACCGCGGGGGCGTAGCTAGAGGGGGAGGGGGAGGGGAGGGGGGAGAGGGAGAGGGAGAGGGGAGAGGGAGAGGGGAGGAGAGGGAGAGGGAGAGGGGGAGAGGAGGAGGGGGGAGAGGGGAGAGGGAGGGGAGGGGATGAGGGAGAGGGAGGGGAGAGGGAGGGGAGAGGAGGGGACTCTTTCAATCTAATCTACTATATACAAGTGGCGATAATCAGGTGTGGGAAGAAAGGTGCGTGTCGGGGGAGGGGAGGGGGGAGGGGAGGGGAGGGAGGGGTAACATCTCCTCGAATGTCGGTCCATTTGATTTAACCCACGATAAGGACACAGTAAACACAGACTTGTAAATAGAAGATTCCTGCCCAAATATTCTTGTTTAAATTTAGTAAAAAAAAAAAAAAAAAAAAAAAGAAACCGTCTACTTGGTCAATTGTTTTTGTTCTATATTGACTTAACACTCTCTTCTCCAGTAATGCTAGTAATGCTAATATTATTGAGCATTATACCACTTTTTTCACACCTGTGCCACTTTATCCGGAATGTTAAAAGTAATAGTAACAATATAGACGAAATACTATGATAACCTGGTCATAATATGGCTGCTAGGGTAATATTTACTACCCACCACTCAGTGTACGTTACTAAGCGGATGTGACGTAATACTTTTGTTTTTTAAGCCATTTTATCCACACACACACACACACACATATACACGCACACACACACACACACACACACACACACACACACACACACACACAAAATCATTGCCATTATACGTGATGTACTAACCAATTACTTGTCTAAACTAGTTATTGCGGTTTATTTACAAGTATCGTCCCCCCTCGTTAACAACATATTTATCGACTTAGTGGTATCATATTGTGTATGGTGTTGTAATATCTGAGAGTTTGTTGGTCTTTTGTCAGTGTGTGCGTGTGTGTGTGTGTGTGTGTGTGTGTGTGTGTGTGTGTGTGTGTGTGTGTGTGTGTGTGTGTGTGTGTGTGTGTGTGTGTGTGTGTGTGTGTGTGTGTGTGTGTGTGTGTGTGTGTGTGTGTGTGTGTGTGTGTGTGTGTGTGTGTGTGTGTGTGTGTGTGTGTGTGTGTGTGTGTGTGTGTGTGTGTGTGTGTGTGTGTGTGTGTGTGTGTGTGTGTGTGTGTGTGTGTGTGTGTGTGTGTGTGTGCGTGTGTGTGTGTGTGTGTGTGTTGTGTGTGTTTTACATAGTTTACAATATATATAATTTTTCCCTGATATGACAAACTGTGTAGATTACTTTATAAAATGAATACACACACACACACACACACACACACACACACACACACACACACACACACACATCATCATACTACCAAAGCCCAAAATTTTACCTTATTAAAGTAAATACTGACGAGCGACAATACTAATTAACTTAGAGTAATGAAACAATACATATAGATTACTGTAAATGATGGTGTGAAACCCATTAGTAAGGGAGACTTTGGTAGTTTAATGTGCACACCTCCCTGTCTGTCTCTTTGTAACTGTCTCTATCTCTGTCTCTCACTCCCTCATTATCTCTCAACCTCTCTCTTTCCCTCTTTATCTAACAATATTCTTTTCTTCTCTCTCTCCCATCTTTCTCTCCCCCTCATTATCCCTCTAGTTAATCTTGCTAAGTGTATGAAGGCGCCATAACGACTAACTGCCCCCACACGGTCATCAACGCTGCATATACCTTCACCCTGAGCCTACCTGAGTACAGCTGCTTAACCAACATTTACTCAGGTGTTCAGTGTATACTAAAGGTAAATGTATGATGACTATGTATAATGAATGATGTATGATGTAACGTTATAAACCATTCATTATAGATAAATTCTCTTCAGACATTTATCTTCCTGTTGTGGTTTATTGAGTGTGGTTTATGTCCTAAAACACGAAGGTATGTGATCTGTGTTTATATTTATTTGAGCCGCCACAAATTACATTTATCTTTCACATCCATTAATTCAATAATAAATGACAGGCGTAAATTGACTCCAGCCTCTGATTAAACCCATGTGGGGTCTCTGAGGTCGCCAATTAAACCCATGTGAGGTCTGAGTACATTAAAGCCATGTGAGGTCTAAGGTCGCTAATTAAACCCATGTGAGGTCTGAGGTCGCCAATTAAACCCATGTGAGGTCTGAGTCGCCAATAAAGCCATGTGAGGTCTGAGGTCGCCAATTAAACCCATGGAGGTCTGAGGTCGCCAATTAAACCCATGTGAGGTCTGAGGTCGCCAATTAAACCCATGGAGGTCTGAGGTCGCCATTAAACCCATGTGAGGTCTGAGGTCGCCAATTAAACCCATGTGAGGTTTGAGGTCGCCAATTAAACCCATGGAGGTCTGAGGTCACAATTAAAGCCATGTGAGGTCTGAGGTCGCCAATTAAACCCATGTGAGGTCTGAGGTCGCCAATTAAACCCATGTGGAGTCTGAGGCCACACCACCAGACGCTGTATAAATACAAAGAAAAGTTATGTTAGTGAAGTCATCTCACCTCTGATACTTCCCATAGGCCTTTTATTTCATATAGGCTTTTTTTACCTCATATAGGCCTCTCTTACCTTACATAGGTTTTCCTTACCTTCCATAGGCCTCTCCTACCTGCCATAGGCCCTTAGTACCTCCCATAGGCCTCTTATACCTCACATAGGCCTAACTTTAACTTCCATAGGCCTCTCACACCTGCCATAGGCCTACAAAGAAAACCCTCATAAAACTTACAAATAGGAAACTCGGTTCCAGTTACTACACAATTTTTCCAAACATTTCTCCCCTAAGTAAGATAATTCCTCGTGACAGCTCATCTCTCTCTCCTCGGGGCTTATCGCTGGTCGGTGTCTCTTCTGGTTCATCATCTTCAGCAGCTCAGGTGTGATGAAGGTGTGATGAAGGTGTGATGAAGGTGTGATATGAAGGTGTGATGAAGGTGATGAAGGTGTGATACAAGGGTGATGAAGGTGTGATGAATAAGGTGATGAAGGTGTGATGAAGGTGTGATGAAGGTGTGATGAAGGTTGATTGAAGGTGTGATGATGGGAGATGAAGGTATATGAAGGATAATGGTGATGAAGGTGTGATGAAGGTGTGAAGGTGGATGAAGGTGTGATACGAAGGTGTGATGAGGGTGTGATGAAGGTGATGAGGGTGTGATACGAAGGTGTGATGAAGGTGTGATAGGGTGTGATGAAGGTGTGATGAAGGTGTGATGAAGGTGCGATACGAAGGTGTGATGAAGGTGATGATGGTGTGTGATAAAGGTGTGATGATGGTGTGATGAAGGTGCGATACGAAGGTGGATGAAGGTTGATGAAGGTGTGATGAAGGGATGATGTGTGGATACGAAGGTGATGAAGGTGCGATGAAGGTGTGATGATGGTGTGATACGAAGGTGTGATGAAGGTGTGATGAAGGTGCGATACGAAGGTGTGATGAAGGTGTGATGAAGGTGTGATTATAGGTACCTGTCTTCTGAAGAATTGACCTTTTTTTAATTGTTCCCTTGTTTCACGTGTCACAGTTGTATATTGTAAGTCCTGGATGATGATTTAACCCTTTGAGGACGATGGTTTAACTCTTTGAGGACGATGGTTTAACCCTTTGAGGACGATGATTTAACCCTTTGAGGACGATGGTTTAACCTTTGAGGACGATGGATTTAACCCTTTGAGGACGATGGTTTAACTCTTTGAGGACGATGGTTTAACCCTTTGAGGACGATGGTTTAACCTTTGAGGACGATGGTTTAACCCTTTGAGGACGAACCCTTTGAAGACGATGATTTTACCTTTTGAGGACGATGGTTTAACCCTTAGAGAACGATGGTTTAACCCTTTGAGGACGATGGTTTAACCCTTTGAGGACGATGGTTTAACTCTTTGAGAACGATGATTTAAGCATATGAATTGGCTTTTGACATCTACTAACTTAGAAAAAAAAAATATATGGAAAATACTGCAAATGTTTTCGGTAAATGATATATTATTAACGATTCACTAAACACAGTAAAACATCGGTCACTCTCCATAAACATCACAACTGTTCATATACAACATCACCCACAACCACACTGATGTAAATAAACCACAAAGACAATACTTATGTTGGTCAGAGATTACATAAAGAAAGTAAATCATATAATGAGAGAGAGAGAGAGAGAGAGAGAGAGAGAGAGAGAGAGAGAGAGAGAGCAAATGAAAAGGAGAACACTGATTAAAAAAAGTAAAACTCAGACTTAGATCGTGGAAGAAAGAAAGAAAAAAAGAAATAAAGAAAGAATATGAAAAATTAATATATAAAGATGAAGATAAATAGGAAAATAAAAAAATGTGATAAAGAATGAAAGCAGAAGCAGAGCGAGTAACTTACCAGAGACCCAGGAATAGTCGTAGTGTTGTTTGGTTAGGTTAGGTTAGGTTACGAAAGAGGATCAACCATGGAAGCCGATTTGTGTGAATGAATGAAATGTGCACGGGTAATAAGATGTTGCTCGTGGCATTCCTGTATAGACACACACACACACACACACACACACACACACACACACACACACACACACACACACACACACACACACACACACACACACACACACACACACACACACACACACACACACACACACAGGATGTTGTGACTAGTAAACATCTTAATTTGGTGTGTCAACAGTAGTAGTGGTGATGGTAAGGACTTTGCACTCATAATAACCCGCCATTAACGACAGTGTGTCTCCCCGACAGTACCGGTAGTGTCAGTGACGGGGGTGGAGGGGGAGTCGGCGGCACTGCCCTGTGACGTGTCTCATCCCCCTCACGACGCCATCTACCTCCTGCTGTGGTTTAAAGAGCCCCTCACTACACCCATCTACAGGTAGGTCCCCCTCACTACACCCATCTACAGGTAGGTCCCCCTCACTACACCCATCTACAGGTAGGTCCCCCTCACTACACCCATCTACAGGTAGGTCCCCCTCACTACACCCATCTACAGGTAGGTCCCCCTCACTACACCCATCTACAGGTAGGTCCCCTACCCACACACCCATCTGGGTGGGTCCCCTCACTACACCCATCTACAGGTAGGTCCCCTTCACTACACCCATCTACAGGTAGGTCCCCCTCACTACACCCATCTACAGGTAGGTCCCCCTCACTACACCCATCTACAGGTAGGTCCCCCTCACTACACCCATCTACAGGTGAGATACATGTAGCATTGATGTCAGGGGTGGAAGAGTGGTGGTAGGGCCGGATGATAGTGTTGGTAGTGCCCTGACATCCCTAATCTTGTGTTGGCAGGTTAGATGAACGATCGGAAGCAGAGAGCCGGTGGTGGGACGAAAACCAGCTGGGCCAGAGAGCTCTCCTGGAGGTGTTGTCGTCGCAGGCAGTACTGAGAGTGTCCGCCCTCACCCTCCACGACCACGGCCTCTATACCTGTCGTGTAGACTTCAGGAATCACCCCACCAAGACGACCAGAGTCAACCTCACTGTTGTTGGTAGGTCTCTCTCTCTCTCTCTCTAATGTTGGCAGGTGTACTGGCTCCTGGGGTCGAACCAACACAACTTATGAGACGTAACAACCAACTCAGTGACCACAATTGTACCTCGTTCCCAACACATCACGCGAGAAAAATGCTTAAATTAAGTCATATAAACTGAATAACGTGAAATAATTACTCGTTTGATTATAATGTTAAGATTTCCTGTATGATATGTGTATAGATATTTTTATAATTAATTACGGGTATAAGGTTACAGTCTTAAAGTCAATTACAGTGATACAGTCAGGTAATACAGGTCACAACACAAACCTTCCTTCATTATTCACAATATTATTCTTTAGCCTATCCGACAAATTCACTAACTACATGATAAGAAAATTCCCGACAAAATTATGTCAGGGAGTATAAGGTAAAGTCACCCTTAACAGGATTAATTAGTGAGTGGTCAAACTGGTTAGGAGATAATTCTGGTCATACAGGCAAAACAAGTTCTCCTAAACAGAATATTGTCCATTATTTAAGCGTTTGTCGCCGTAAGTTGATTATGTTAAAAAACACATAAATACACAATAAAGACTCTTGTGTGCTGAAAGATAAAAAAATTCAAAATACAGACGTGAAGTACAGAAAACTATTATTACAGTATATAATTATATCTATTTTCTTATTTACCATTAACTTTGTACAGTAGAAGTCAAATGGCCGAAAATGTCAAGGTTTATACCAACCATCTGAGCGTCTTGTGGTTAACTTGTAAGAGCAAATCATATCTTATTAGGCAGACTATTGACAAATATCCGAACCATTATGTAAGGGGGGAAGTGAAGCCCTACCTGTATAATGATTAAAGAAACAGATGTAACTTTATGTAGACTTATGTACTGTTCACACACACACACTAACTTCACCTTTTTTTCCCCCACAGTTCCCCCAGAGCGAGTGAGTGTAGTGGTGGGTGACACAATGCCTGAGGAGCGGGTGAGTGTGGTGGTGGGTGAGGTGTACAGCAACAGGGGCTCAGTCAGTAGCGTGGTTGGACCTTACCTGGAGGGTGACGTCATCCAACTCACCTGTGTCGCCCATGGTGGTACGTCTTACCTGTCTACCTGTTACATGATTAGTATGCTACAAAGAATCCCTTACATATAAACTAACCTAACCTAACCTAACCTAACCTAACCTAGTTTTAAGCTACAATACATCGTCATTAGTCTTTCTTTACCTGCCCTTCCCTCCCTCCCGCCCACCCACCCGCCCGCCCTCCACGTGCCAATACCACGTCAATTCCTCGTCATTCGTGCGACTCTCAACACCATTTGACCATACACGCTGCTGAAGACTCCATTCCTAACTTTACTGAGTCTCCAAACGTATAGGGTGGTGTTGAACTATCTGTCTCTACTAGTCTCTACATCTTTATCTCTCACTGTTGATACACCCGAGTCTCCCAACATTCATCTCTCACTTCTCACCAAAACCTTAGTCTCTTTATCTCCATCTCTTACTTCTCAAATACACCTGGAGTCTCACGTCAATATGAAAGACTTAAAAGAGTAACTCCTTCAGGTAGTCTCCCTGTACACCTCCCACTAAGACTCTTCCCTTTAATCAAAATACATTATGATAAAAAGCTCTCTCTCTCTCTCTCTCTCTCTCTCTCTCTCTCTCTCTCTCACTGACTCAATCACGAATGCCATAAATAAGAGGAAACGTCACACACCATTCACCCCCTTCAAGTACCTCACAATCACTACTTCATATCACTGTTATTTCACTAAACAATCACATGATAGTTTACACCATATATCAGTGTACACCATAAAAGGTCAGCATCTCTCATTTGACCTTTCTGTTGACCTTTTTCCCTCAGTGAGATAGTCAATTAGTGGAGAGAGAGTCTATTAGAGAAGACAGTCTATTAAAAACATTGATAACTATAACCATCACAATCAAGTAAACATCAGCTATATCCACCACCTTCTCAAACATCAACATTACACAACATTATAACATTTTTCACTTTATAATCATCACTGAGAAATAATTATTCTCAAAATGTTCCAACCTTTCCCATTGACAGCCATTCTGGATCTGTCCCTCTGGTCCTGTTAACACAAGTTCGGGGTAAAAGTTGTCCTCGCTAAGTTTTTTTTATATAAATGTTCGTGAGAGTCATATAAACTTTGACGCCCTCCTTCGGGTAAAAATACTGAAGGTGTGGTCTAGTGTCCGAGTCTTGTGTTTTGTTATCGTCTTTGTGTCATTAATAAATATCGTTAATATATCCGTGTTATGTGTTATATATTTGATATAATATTAAGTGATACTATTTTAATATATCTATGAATGTTATACGTCTTGTTATATCGTTATATTGCCTAAGCTAACCTATTAACCTAACCTAACAAACCTAACCTATAACTTAACCAAACCTGACCTAACCTGACCAGACCTAACCTAACGTAGCCAAACCCCTAACCTCACCTGTGTGTGTGTGTGTGTGTGTGTGTGTGTGTGTGTGTGTGTGTGTGTGTGTGTGTGTGTGTGTGTGTGTGTGTGTGTGTGTGTGTGTGTGTGTGTGTGTGTGCAAGACCGTGAATATTCAGAGGATAATCCCAACATAATCAGCTTAGGTTGTTGGCCAGAAACCTGAGGAGATGATGGAACAGAAGTCTATACCCAGCACACACTTCATCTCATTATTGAGGGTAGTACACGAGGCCTTGGTCCTGTCTACGTGAGGGGTCTCACGTGGAGGTGGCTACGTGAGGGTGTCTACGTGAGGGTGTGCTACTGTGAGGGTGTTCACGTGAGGGTGTCTACGTGAGGGTGGCTACTACGGAGGGTGTCTACGTGAGGTGTCTACGTGGAGGGTGTGGCTACGTGAGGGTGTCTGACTGAGGGTGCTACGTATGTGAGGGTGGAGGGTGTCTACGTGAGGGTATCTACGTGGGGGTGTCTGACGCGTGAGGTGGTGAGGTGGCTACGTGAGGGTGCTATGCGAGGGTGGCTATGTGAGGGTGTCTGGACACGTGAGGGTGTCTACGTGAGGGTGCACGGAGAGGGTTCACATTGAGGTGTCTACGGAGGGGTGGCACGTGAGGGTGTCTACGTTTCGTGAGGGTGATACGTAGGGTGGGAGGACATGAGGGTGTCTACGTGAGGGGGAGGGTTACGTGAGGGTGGAAATGTTCTACGTGAGGGTGGCTACGTGAGGGCTACGTGCTACGTGGGGTGTCACTGAGGGTGACTGTTTACGTGAGGGTGGCTACGTGAGGGTGGATACGTGAGGGTGTCGAGGGTGTTATGGAGGGTGTCTACATGAGGGTGTCTACGTGAGGGGTACTGTGAGGTGTCTACTGCGTGATACGTGAGGGTGTCTACGTGAGGGTGCTACGTGTGAGGGTGGTGAGGCTACGTCTACGTGAGGGTGTCTACATGAGGGTGTGAGGTGGGTCTACGTGAGGGTGGCTGCTACGTCTGAGGGGTGTCTGACGTGAGGGTGTCTACGTGAGGGGGGGCTACGTGAGGGTGTCTACGTGAGGGTGTCTACGTGAGGGTGGCTACGTGAGGGTGGCTACGTGAGGGTGTCAGGAGCAGCAACAGACACCACAGTAATTGACTTTTCTGAAACCCACACTGGTCCACCGCTCTCTGTTATGGACCTCATCTCCTCCTTCCTCCTCCTCCCTCACCAGTGGAAAATTCACAGTAGAGAATATTTTTATAACACCAATCTTTAATTACTTGTTACTAATGTTTTCCTCTGAATGTCAAATTAAGGAAAAAAATGTCTGAAATTAATGTAGTTGATTTTTTTTTATAAATAAGTTTATTTAGGACAAAGATATTTTTTACAAACATAATTTACTTCATCATTATCTATCGTTTATCACTGTCACTACATCCCTTTACTTCCTTAATGTTCCTCTCGTGTTACTGTTTCTTGTGTATTTCTTTATCACAGCCAAAACACCTACGGCAACTCTACAGCCATATTCACCCTCTCTATGAAGTATATTTTAGCGATATTTTCCACCAACTTGTAGACCATAATACATAAGCAACTTTAAGACAAAACACATAATAATCTAATTTTAACATCATGCACTGCACGTTCCGCTACAGGCAGTCCCCGACCGTCGGTGGTGTGGTACGGAGACTCTCGCCTGCTGGACACTCACATGGAATCAGATGTTTTAGAAGCCACGAGTGAAACCCTTGGTGCAGTGACGGTGACAACGCTCGGACCGGGGCCCACCACAACACAGCCAGCTTTCGGAGGAGAGCCGTTCAATACGCTTACTCTGGGGCCCCTCAGTCGCAGCCACCTCAACCTGCTGTTGACGTGTGAGGCCTCCAACAACAACCTCACACAGCCCACCACACTCAGCCTCACCATTGACATGAACTGTGAGTCATTCTGATACTCCTGTCACAAAATTTTCAGAATCAGAATCACGAAACTCATGCAAAAAATATGAGTACAGAGAGTGAGAAGTACTGTACACAGGACGGGTACTGTACACAGGGCGGGTACAGTACACAGGGCGGGTACAGTACACAGGGCGGGTACAGTACACAGGGCGGGTACAGTACACAGGGCGGGTACAGTACACAGGGCGGGTACAGTACACAGGGCGGGTACAGTACACAGGGCGGGTACAGTACACAGGGCGGGTACAGTACACAGGGCGGGTACAGTACACAGGACGGGTACAGTACACAGGGTGGGTACAGTACAGGGCGGGTACAGTACACAGGCGGGTACAGTACATGGGCGGGTACAGCACACAGGCGTGGGTACAGTACACAGGACGGATACAGTACAGGCGGGTACAGTGCACACAGGGCGGGTATAGTACATGACGGGTACAGTACACAGGGCGGGTGTTGGTACACAGGACGGGTACAGCACACAGGCGGGCATAGCACAGGGCGGGTACAGCACACAGGGCGGGTACAGCACACAGGCGTGGGTACAGTACACAGGGTGGCACACAGGGCGGGCACAGTATTGGTGTGGGGCGGGTACAGTACACAGGACGGGTGGGCTGGTACACAGGGCGGGTACAGTACACAGGGCGGGTACAGTACACAGGGGCGGGTACAGCACACAGGGCGGGTACAGTACACAGGCGGGTATAGTACACAGGGCGGGTACAGTGACACAGGGCGGGTACAGCACAGGGCGGTACAGTACACAGGGCGTGGTACAGTACACAGGGCGGGTACAGTACACAGGGCGGGTACAGTACACAGGGCGGGTACAGTACACAGGGCGGGTACAGTACACAGGACGGGTACAGTACACAGGACGGGTACAGTACACAGGGAGGGTGAGGCGAGGACTTACTGCGGCAGTGTAGTGTTACTTTAGAGGTCCCGGAGGAGAACGTTGTGAGGGCAGGACCAAGCTGAGGAGGACACGGTGATCCTCCACAGTTGTTGAGGTGAAGGTGTCCAACAAACACTCCCTGGGGTGTGAGGGGGAGGCGCCGTCAAGCTCCCCATCCTGTGATAGTGGGGAGTATAGAGCCCCTGCCTCCTCTCCCCTTCTGGTGAGAGAGAGAGAGAGAGAGAGAGAGAGAGAGAGAGAGAGAGAGAGAGAGAGAGAGAGAGAGAGAGAGAGAGAGAGAGACACTGTAATCTTCCTCACATCCGGGGTCTTTTTAAGCTTCTCAATTAGGCTCTGTGATTTCCATTTATTTTGCGGTCTATTTACTCCGGGCGTCTCTCTCGTGTGTGTGTAAACAATAACAATAAACAATAATAATAAACAATCACCTAGCACCATATTACTGCATGATATATGGCTTTATCCACTGTAGGTGATATAATGTTTCACGTATCATGTTAAACCAGGCATGATAGACGAGCTAACTCAATCTAGTTAGCCTTCAGTAGACGTCATTGACCCGAGGAGTAACTGAGTGTTTACTATCCGTGGTCAATACTCGGGAGGCCTTCAGTGTGTGTGTGTGTGTGTGTGTGTGTGTGTGTGTGTGTGTGTGTGTGTGTGTGTGTTTTATCTCCCAAGTGGACAGGTGAGTGGTGGTCTGGTGAGCCTCAGGTGTTAACATTACTGTCAGTTGTTACCAGAGGTTGTTATATTTACTCACCATTCTCACACGTTATAAGAACACATATTAAATAATTCCTTGTGCTTACTATTCTACTATCACATCACACAATACTACTACTACAACTACTACTACTACTACTACTACTACAACTACTACTACTACTAATAATAATAATAATAATAATAACTACTTGACTCCATTAACAGCTGGGGTATTCTTAACTATTTTACTTCTTAAGAATATTCTGAAAGGCATCATCATAGTGTTTTTATTCCACCCTCGTCCGTAAGTTCTGGGGTAGAAATAGTGTCACTGGTCACTTTACAACCATGCTTCGGGTTTAATAGGCTTATGTACAGTTGATGAGCACAATTTACGTTCACCAGCTGGGAGGAAGATCACTCAATTTGCTGATGATTCTAGTTGATTATTGTTTATGTCGTTGTTCTGATTCACCGTCGCTCTATGACACATTATTAACCAGTAAGATTCAAGCCGAGTGTTTATATTGACCGTTCATTAGCTGACACTTTAACCAATAAGACTCAAGCACAGTCTTTATGTGACAGTTCATTGGCTGGTCTGGCGTCGCTCCATGGCACGTAGTAACCAATAAGACTCAGGCATATTTGTTGTTATTATTCTACTGGAACATCATTTTTTTTATGAACGAACCTGAGTATTAGGTAACCTGCCGAGACACAGGTCAGGTGTAAATACCAAGACCATATGGACGTGAAGGTTTAGATTAGGTTAGGTTAGGTTAGGTTAGGTTAGGTTATATTAAATTACCTGCCAAAAAATCCTCCATTCTGACTCACTGACTCACCCCTGACTCTCCCCCTTACCAGTGCCGCCCCTGAGTGTAGAGACCTAGCGCCCTGATTCACTGACTCACCCCTGACTCTCCCCCTTACCAGTGCCGCCCCTGAGTGTAGAGATCCAGCGGCCTGAGTCAGTGGCGCTGAGGGCTGAACGTGAGTACTTGGTGGAGTGTGTGGTGGTGGGAGCTCGACCCCCGCCCGCCATCACCTGGTGGAGCGGCCACCAACGAGTCCTGCAAGCCACGGTCACGGTGAGTCACTGTGAGTCTGTCCTGTTATGATGAGTCACTGTGAGTCTGTTCTGTTATGGTGAGTCACTGTGAGTCTGTTCTGTTATGGTGAGTCACTGTGAGTCTGTCCTGTTATGGTGAGTCACTGTGAGTCTGTTCTGTTATGGTGAGTCACTGTGAGTCTGTCCTGTTATGGTGAGTCACTGTAAGTGTCCTACTATTGTGAGTCACTGTGAGTCTGTCCTGTTATGGTGAGTCACTGTGAGTCTGTTCTGTTATGGTGAGTCACTGTGAGTCTGTCCTGTTATGGTGAGTCACTGTGAGTCTGTCCTGTTATGGTGAGTCACTGTGAGTGTCCTACTATTGTGAGTCACTGTGAGTCTGTTCTGTTATGGTGAGTCACTGTGAGTCTGTTCTGTTATGGTGAGTCACTGTGAGTCTGTCCTGTTATGGTGAGTCACTGTGAGTCTGTCCTGTTATGGTGAGTCACTGTAAGTGTCCTACTATTGTGAGTCACTGTGAGTCTGTCCTGTTATGGTGAGTCACTGTAAGTGTCCTACTATTGTGAGTCACTGTGAGTCTGTTCTGTTATGGTGAGTCACTGTGAGTCTGTTCTGTTATGGTGAGTCTGTCCTGTTATGGTGAGTCACTGTGAGTCTGTCCTGTTATGGTGAGTCACTGTAAGTGTCCTACTATTGTGAGTCACTGTGAGTCTGTCCTGTTATGGTGAGTCACTGTAAGTGTCCTACTATTGTGAGTCACTGTGAGTCTGTTCTGTTATGGTGAGTCACTATATTACCAGTTTTCTATCGACATCATCAGTTCTCTCTCTCTCTCTCTCTCTCTCTCTCTCTCTCTCTCACCTGGATCTCTCACTACTTTTCTCTCTCTCTCATCTAGAACTATCACCACTTCTCTCACCACTTCTCTCACCTATATCTCTCACCACTTCTCTCACCGCCAGATCTCAGAGGACAGGAATCTCACCAGCAGTAGTGTGGTGATCGTCCCTGGGCCACGGGACAATGGTTCGTTCCTTCGGTGTATCGCAGAGACCCACGCTGCCCCAGCCACCCTGGAGGACACCTGGACCCTCACCGTGCACTGTATGTATCCTTCACTGTATGTATCCTTCACTGTATGTATCCTCCACTGTATGTATCCTTCACTGTATGTATCCTCCACTGTATGTATCCTTCACTGTATGTATCCTTCACCGTGCACTGTATGTATCCTTCACTGTATGTATCCTTCACCATGCACTATATGTAACCTAACAGCACCACTTCATTATCCCGTATTCCAACATATCAATAACTTACCCAATTAACCGTTCGTGTAAATACTTATATGAGTCGTAGTCACTATCAGGACACCACCCGCCAGCACAACAGAGCCTTAACACTAATTAAAGATCTGTTTGGACAATATCTCTTGTTTACACTCTAACTATGAGTTATAATTGGGCTAGATTTACTTTACTCAGGCAAAAATATGGAATTCCTGTTTGGGTTTTTGTAGTAAATAGTGACTCATCTAACTCATGGCATTACGATGTTTATGTGTGAATTATACTCACCTTGTGACTATAATCTCCTATTGGGTGAGATTATAGACCACATGAAGGTAAATAATACAAGTACCGCTGGGAGAATTATGGTATGTTTGGATAGTTATTGGATGTCACAGGTGGGTATTGGTATGAGACAGGTGGGTGCGGGGTATGAGACAGGTGGGTGCGGGGTATGAGACAGGTGGGTGCGGGGTATGAGACAGGTGGGTGCGGGGTATGAGACAGGTGGGTACTGGGCATGAGACAGGTGGGTACTAGGCATGTCACATGTGGGTACGGGGTATACACAGATGGGTATTGAGCTTGAGACAGATGGTTACTACACATGACAGAGACGGTTATTGGGCATGGCACAGATGGCTACTAGACAAGACAGATGGCTACTAGACATAACAGATGGCTACTGGGTAAGCCACAGACAGTTACACAAGACACAGGGGGCTACTAGACAAGACAGATGGCTACTGGGCAGGTCACAGACAGTTACACAAGACACAGATGGCTACTAGACATAACAGATGGC